TGGGATTTATAGTAAACGTTTATCCACCGGTCTAAAACAGAATTTTTATGTTAAGAAATAAGTCATACAAGGAAGTACTATATTGAAGATGTAAGATATTGAAGGTTCTATTTTATCCTGGGTACCAATAATATGCTATAGTGATATGAAAGTTTCAGTCACCAGTTACAAGTGAGTAACTGGGTTAAAACACATGTGTATAGAAGCATATAATTCTATACATTTATCTACAAGGTCATAAAGAAGAAATTAATGGAAAGTATTTCAGACATCTTTTGTGCCAAGGACTGTGCCTGACAGAAAAGTGGACAAGAGCTTGTTGGGCCGTTTGACCAGCATCAAAGTCAATGGACTTTCCTGTATATGACTTTGGATCTGCATATAGGGCACGGAGTAGGAGTGGGACTGCTTCCTGGAATTAAATAAGGAAAATACACCTCAGTCCTTGTTATTCAATTCACTGTAGAGACAACTTCGGGAGAAGGCAAGCGACACAAAGGTAAAGAAGTCTTGTGAGTCGTGTGGCTTCTCATGAAAGTTAGAAGTATCCCATGTTCCTGTGGATCTTGGACTGATTCTAGTCTTACACAGAATGTGAATGACTCCATCACCCAGCAATATTCTTCTACCAGTGTAATTAAGAAAAAAAGGTAGATAGGCCAGGCGCGGTGGCCCGCACCTGCAATCCCAGCACTTTGTAAGGCTGAGGTGGGTGGATCGCAAGGTCAGCAGATTGAGACCATCCTGGCCAACATGGTGAAACCCTGTCTTTACTAAAATACAAAAAGTTAGCCAGGCATGGTGGTGCACACCTGTAGTCCCAGCAACTCGGGAGGCTGAGGCATGGGAATCACTTGAACCCGGAAGGCAGAGATCAGGTCACTGCACTCCAGCGTGGTGACAGAATGAGACTCCATCAAAAAAAAGAAAAAGAAAAGGAAAAAGAGTGGATAAAAAATATAGCAGTATACAGGGAAGATAAAGCAGAAAGAAACTAATTCTGTCAGACAAAAAAATTATGAAAGCCTACCATGATCTGGTATTCCTTTGTTGCAATAGTGACATGTCTTCATCAGTGACATTGAAAAGATTTATGAAGGCTGGCTTCCGCCAGCATCTTCAGAAGACTCATAAAATTTCTGGAGACAAGAATCGTTTATTAAATAAACAAGAAATAGTGCTGGCCAGAAAGCCAATGTGAATGAGAGGACAGCAAGGTTGTACATACTTATTTACCAAATGTCCAGAGTGTCTACCACATTGTACTTAGGGATGTCACATACAGATGTGCTGATATGCATGAAGCACCCTACAGTTGTACAGTGCACATCTTGTGCAACTGTATATAACTGTCTGAGCTGTATTAAAAAGCTGGAGAAAATAGAAACAAATAAATGCCACATCTAGTCAGTAATCTGATTATATTAATGAACCATGCATAGATACTGGATTAACCTTATTTCTAGAGGAAAACATATTCTTCTTAGACTGAGAAACAATGGCTAAACAGTATACACAGTAGATTTGAAATCTCAAATCGAGGTTTTCAAACAGATTTGTCTCAAATCACATGTTCCATGCACTGTTGACTCCAAACAGCTATCATTGCAAGCACAAGTGGCAAGACTAATGAAATTAGCAGGCCTTACACCCAAATGGCATTAAACACAATTGTCCAGTGTACGGGCAGCTGTTTCATGATTGCTACAGGAAAAAAAAAATTGTTCACAGACACGTAGAACGATCTCAGAGGCAATGCTAATCTAAGCTGGAGAAGTGAACAATGTTCAAAGCTAGAAAGTGAAAACTGGGCATCACCAACCATTCTGGAAAACAGGTGGTTAGAAGAGGAGAGGTGGAGGAGAAGAACATATACATGGACCAAGTACTGTGGAAAACTGTAGAAATTTCTTATAATAAATAAAACATTTTATTTCACAAAGCAAAAAAAAAAATTCAAATACCACCATCCTAAACCATTACCATCATGAATATGTTTTCATACTAAATTTTAATTTTAACAAGAACTTTAACATTTAGAAACATGATTTCCTCTTAGATTTTCTTTTTTTTTAAGTTAGGGAATAAAGAAAGCTATAACCAATATTATATATCTCATTATCCCTTACCATCCAGTCACATGTATGCCAAAACTTCTGTTTAACTGTAGGCAATCCTTTCTTTCATATCAGAAATAATGGGGTTGGGCAGATGTAAGTTCAGTATATGTAGGTTCACTTTTTAAAAGAAATTATTTTTAAAGGAAATTCTGACATATTCTGAAAAAAACTACTAATCGTGTTAGTAAATACAGAATGAAAAAAATTGCTAAGCATATTAGTAAGTATATAATGCTTCACCCTCCATGTATAAGACTTGTCTTCTGTCACATGCAAATTCAGCTGCTTTCCTTTGTTGCTTCGTAACAAACTCATATATTAACAGTACATTCAAAGCATTTAAAACTTCACAGTGCCCAGGACACCTGAGACATTCTTGGCGCTTGTGCTCTTTAAAAGAGTTAAGCAACCTAAAGAATATGACTTATATCCAACAATTCAAAGTCTCCTTTATTACACCATCAGATAAAGTGACGTTTTACAAGGAAAACGGAAACATTTTAAAACTTGAGGAGTCCAGCACATCTAAAGGATTCCCATTTTATGAACTTACAAAAAAGCTGGATAGTCTGAAAAGTCTTACTTCAAACAAAACAGACTGTTTTCTTCTGTTACTGTTACCTATACTTACAACCAGATTCCCTATTACCTATAATCTGGCCTTGCGGTCCAATATCAAGGCTGGTGGCAGTAAAATGGAGCTGAAGACTGATTTCTCCCATGTACATTTGGAATCTGAGAAGTTAGAAAAGTGCTGGCTGCCAGACAAGGTAACTTTCTACTCACCCCCAGCTCAGTGTTCACCATTTTTTAATATCAACCCCCATCCTCACCACCAGCGCCAGCCAGGAGCCTTTTAAGACATTTTTCCCCTACAAAATTTGAATACGGATATATTAAAATACATACCGTATTTTAAAATACATACCATATGTACCTTACGTATATCTGTGCGTTATGTATCAAAAGTAAAACTTTTTTCATCCCTCCATGAACCAATTTTTCCCTGCTGGGGGTGATATCACCCCTGTTGAAAATGCATGTCCTAAACAACAGCTACAAAAACTCAAATGCACGTTTAATTGTCTTTTCAAGGCCAGAAATTTCTAAATCAATAATGATTTAGCATCACCTTAGCCAAAACAATGACATCCAAATTATTTTCAAAATAGAAGCTGAAAATATATATCAACTATGAAATGCATAAAATTGGGCCAAATATTGTTCCAGCAGTCAGTAACACTCTGGTTAATTTTTTTGCATTACTCTCAATTCATTAAGCTCTATTTGATGCTTTTTCATAGAACCAAATATTTGATTAGTGTTGAATTTTACACCTTTCAAGAAGCAAAAAACCAAACACTCTGTGAGAAAACACTTTTCTGGATGACCACAATTGGTAATTTGCAAAAACAGAAACTGTCCATAGAAAGCACTGGAATTTTCAATGTATCAAACAAACTAACCTCTGCTGCTCACAAAGACCTGAAAATAAATGGCCCACAAAGTTATCAGTTATAAAAACAAATCAATGTTTCATTAAAAAACCACTGTGCCATCTGCATATGCAATCTAGGAGAAACTTTTCTATCCAAAAAGATTGCAGACTGCTTGTGTTCTACCATAACTTCAAAAAACAACCAACTCTCACCCCAGCATCTTCAAATACTCATGGCCAGAAGTTTAGTAAGACTAATTAAAAGAACAGCCACTAACAAATGCAGGCTATATCCTGTCCAGTTTACTACCAGGATAGTTCTGCATTTTTATATTGTTTCAAAAATAGTAAGGGCAAAGAAAGTCCTCTGTATGCGCCAATAAAAAGAACTTCATTACATTAAAAATTGAGCTTACCTACCTTCACTGGTCCTTGTTCATTACTGGAGCCCTGCACCAGCTGGACGTACAACATCATGAAAATATTCACCACTACCCACTCTCCGTACATTTTGAATATTTCAATATCCACTGATTACTAAGCAGTTGACATCAGGCAGCTAGAGAAAATTGTTTCAAAAGGCATTCTCCAGAAAGAAAGTTCGAAATCCCCAAACTTCACATAGAAAACCAAATAATCAGTTGTGATCAAAATCCAATGAAATGATTTCAATTAGGCAAGGTACAATTTTTTTGCACAATCTTACAGATGAGGAGAGATGAAAAAAATGTTAAATGTTCTCATGCTCCAAAAATAATCAGAAGGCGGACATGTCTTCCACCTGAAATTAGAAAGCACTTTAAATTTATTTCATGTCCAGCAAATCAAAAAAAAAAAAAAAAAAAAAAAAAAAAAAAAAAAAAAAAAAAAAAAAAAAAAAAAAAAAAAAAAAAGCAAATCAAAAAAAAAAAAAAAAAAATCTCTCCACCGTATGCCCCAGGTTCTAGTTGCTTTGTAAGGAAGTGATGTGGCCACCAATGCTTACAGCTACAGAAAGCTGGAACCCAACTCTGGATTGAAACTTTTTTTCACAACCTTCATGGAAGCTTGCAGAAGCATGTGTCTTAAATCTGACACAGATTTTGGCAGAAAATGCAGAGAAGCCTTGGCTGTAATCCTGTTGCGTCCCTACCAATAGCAGGGCAGTTTTAAGAACTAACTCAAATGTTCAGGCCTGCAGTTATTTTAAAGCAGATAACCTGTAACATGAAACCCCAGCACATAGTCTTGACCTTTGTATCTCAGTACGATTGCTTAAGAAGGATGCTCATGCATCTGCTGCCAATGACACAAAGAAAGCAATCAAATATGATTTTAAAAACCTGCACATGCACAAAAAATAATAAAAACATCCATCCATACATGCAAAAAAAAAGGCAAACATACACAAAATGACTTTTTAAACAGAAGCTTAGTAACTTAGGTACAAATGAAGACAATGATTTTTAAAGAAACAATAATTAGGTTTATTTGCATGTGCCAGGAAATATCCTACATTTATTGTTACAGCAACCACATTATCACTCTAGTGTGGAATTCTTTAGAAGCATTGGCTAAATCAGCTTTAGAAATGGAATGCCTCAAATGGCTCGATGCCACAAATGGCAAAATTCTAGGACACATCGAGACCTATTCTTCTGCTCTCCACTAGTTTCCAATCTTTGATTTCCATGTTTTGGCCCTTTCAAACCCATTTTTTGCATTTCTGAAATCAAGAATGGCCTGAGAAATCTCTTCACTGGTGTTCATCACAAATGGACCTAGGGCAGAAACAGACATTCAGAAAGTTCTGTGTGACATTTTCCTCTACCACTAGAAACGGTATGTATTTCTGTAGTTCTTAATTTAAAACAAAATCCAAGCACATCCGAAGAGTAGAAGCTTATTTTCACAGTGTTCAATCCCCAAGGACTGTAAGATGAGTTTCTTGACTGGGATTGTGTATGATTATTGATTATAAAGACCAAACTTCAGATAAATGCAATGGCATCTCACCCATTCAGTACAGGTTTCTCATCAGCAATGGTGATCTTTTTTATTAAAAAGAGTCTTAGATTTGGTTCTATCACAACTGTTTTTGTAGTTATTTTTATAACATTAGCTGATGTCAATAACTGAACCCATCTGATATAAAGAATTGACAAATCTTATCATAGCTTTGGTGTCTACGCAGCATATAAGGCTGTATACTTATTTGAGGATTCTAAGTCATTTCTAAAAGTTAGCAGCACCTATTGACAATAAACAGAAGATTATACAAATTTCAAGTCCAAAATCATCATTCTTTAAAGTTTTCTAGGGGTTGGCAAATTTTTTTCTAGGAAGGGCTAGATAGTATGTATTTCAGGTTTTGTGAGTCAAACAGTGTCAGTCTCAACTACTCAACTCTTTCATCAAAGTGCAAAAGCAGCCTATCTATTACCTATCTATTAAGTATTTATTGAACGCCTACTGACATAGATAGTACAAAAATGAATAGGCATGGCTGTGCCCCAGTAAAACATCATTTACAAAAACATGCAGTGGGCAGATGTAGCCCATGGACCATAGTTTGCTGACGCTTTTGTCTAATTGCTGGGTCTGAACTCAGGTTTTGCTAAAAATGTACAAGAAGTCCTCCCCTAACCTACCAGGAGGCAATGTGTGTTTCTTGCCCTTTCTTCATATATTGTAGGGACAGAGAGGCAATGGACTGTCTCACTCCTGTGATCTGCTAGATAAACAAAGCCAGCTTTTATATGGCATTGACAGTGTCTTCAGAACAGTTGACAGACTTGTTCACTCAGTATATGTCCTCATCTAACCTGCAGAGGTTCCTGACATTCCTTTTATGGAACTTCTGCTCTAAGGAGGCTTTCTCTGGGAGATTATGATTAACATATAACTGTATTGCTTAGAGGAAATAAAACATTCAAATTTCTTAACCATTGTTATCATATCAACACAGATTTGATGATCACTATAATTTAAATCTTGAGAAGGAAGACACAGGATAATATGCCTTGATGATGCTGAAATCTTTGGAGAGGTTGTGGGGAATAGAATACAAGGTAGGGAAAAAAACCCAGGCAGCTAAATTCATTCATTCAATCTCCTATCTATTAAGTATTTATTTAATTCCTATTAAATGACAGACATTGTGCTAGAAGCTAGAAACATAAAGATGAAAGACAAATAAATGGCAGACTCCCTCTCCTCAAGGGCTCAAATCTAGCACACAGATATGAAAACAAATCATTATAAAACTGTGTTAAATATGGAAGGATAAAAGTATGTAAAAACTATAAAATCGGCACAGAAAGGGGAGGAGGGGAAATCCAGGAAAGGATTCACAGAGGGAGTGATGTTTGAGCAGTCACACATAGAGGAAAGGCATGTTCAGGATTAGTATGCTGGAAGAATACTGGAGGGGATAGGGGTACGGTGGTGGAAGGAGGGATCAAAGGAAGAAAAAGACTGGCAATCTGAAATGTAGGAAGAAGCCAGACCCTTCTGGGCTTTGGATGCAATCTACAGGAAGAAATTTAGACCTACTTTTGCAAGTGATTACGAATCACTGTAAGGTTAAATAGGGAGTAATATAATATGATTTATAATTTTTGAAGAAGACTTTTGCATCAGGGTAGAACAGGTGTCTAACTTGGGAGGCTGAGATGCTGGTGGAATTGTTAAGGGTATTTGAGATACAGGATATGGGAGGCTTTGGATGGAGCCAGGTGTTTGGTTCCGGGTTTTTTTTTTATATTATAGAGTCTTGCTCTGTCACCCAGTCTGGAGGGCAGGGGCGTGATCTTGGCTCACTGCAATCATTGTGTATATCTGGGAATTCACGCAAGGCGGGGAAATGCAATGGGATTTTAATGGATGTTGAATTTAATAATTAGTGAAGTGGACATGTGTTTTGTAAGCATTTATTTAAGTAATAAGTTGGGTTTTAGTTGCTTTTAGATGTTCCTCATTTAATCAAACAACAATGATATGAAGAAGTCAAAACCCAAAGAGTTGAAGTCATCGTTACGGGTACTTAAGCCAGGATTTTCTGCCTCTATGTACATTACTATTTCTGCTATATCAGTTATCTCTACTCATTTTTCTTAATAAACAAAGAATAACTTTACTATTTTAGAAATTTTAAAATACTGTTCTTAAGAGTTTCATTTTTTTTTTTTTTTTTACTAAAAATGCAATAGACTACAGGACAGTACTGAAATCACCATTGTTTTTGATAAATATAAAAAGGATGTTAAAGTTCCCAACAGACGGCAGAATCTTTTTTCAAGTTAAAATTCCCTATGACATAATACAAAAATACGATTTTTGTTCTTCCCACAGTTCCAAACTCAATATCCTACACATGATAGGCATCTAAGAAATGTTTCTTAAAAAAAAGACATGAATAAACATCATGTATATATTTCTGTCTGATGACAGAAAAATTAAACAAAATCCTCAGATCTGTAGATGGAGAGATGGGACAAAAAAAAATACAGCTATTCTTCCCAACAATACATGTATACTGTTTTCAAAGAAAAAGAAAATCAATCAAGAAAATCGTTGCCATTTTGAGCTTACCATGCTGGACAACTGGTTCTCTTAATGGCTCTCCAGCAATTAAGACAAAGTGACTTCTCTTGGGATCCTAAAGTTAACGAATAAAACATCAAACAATAAACAGGCTTATTTTCGAAGGTCAAATTGGGAACAATTTGAAATTGACATGCTAGCCACATGGGCAATGTCCCTAATTCTGAATATAATTTTCAGAAATATTTTCTGTGGAACACTCATTATGGAAATGCTTATTCCTTAAGTTGTTTAGTAGCAACTAGAACTCAAGAATAAGTGCAGGCCACCAAAATATTAACATTTTCAAATTTGAGAAGGAGAATTAAATTAAGATTTCTTTAACTGGAAATATCTTCATGACAAACTATGAGATTAAACTGGCTTATCATGGGATTTATCATTTCTCAGTAACCATATAATTTTTTTTTNTTTTGAGATGGAGTCTCATTCTTTCACCTATGCTGGAGTGCAGTAGCATGATCTTGGCTCATTGCAGCCTCCACCTCCTTATTCAAGCAACTCCCCTGCCTCAGCCTCCCGAGTAGCTGGGATTACAGGCGCTCGCCACCACTCCTGGCTAATTTTTTTGTGTTTTTAGCAGAGACAGGGATTTTATCATGTTGGCCAGACTGGTCTGAGACTCCTGACCTCAGGTAATCCACCCACCTTGGCCTCCCAATGTGCTAGGATTACAGGCGTGAGCCACCATACCCAGCCACCATATAATTTTTAAAAGGGAAGATTAGTTATGTAAATCAAAAAGAAGATTTTATCATTTTGAAAATTATTACTATTAATGTAAAATATGCCCCAGAAATATTGCACTAAATGGAACCTTATAAAAACAGCATCCAAGAGACATCTGCTCAGGCAAATTTCTCTCCAAAAGAGTCCTATTATGTTAAAGTCACTAAAAGTTTTTGCTTAGAATTAAGGATTCTATTTTTTTCCTGAAATGGGAAAAAATATTAACCATAATATCCAGCGCTAGTATGGATGCAGGGAAAAATACACGTTCATATATCATTTAGGAGATTTTCAATTGGTGCAGTAATCCTTCAAGAGAGCAATTTGACAATATGACTGAAAACCCCTCATATTTCTAATGTCCTCCGATCTAATAATGACACTTTTAGCAATATAGTATAAGGGAATTTCACTATTGTAGCACTATTTATCATAGCAGAAATTGAAAACCGTTCTCCAAAAATGAGGGGTTAAATAATTATATGTTTACAAGAAAAACTATCATATGGCCATTAGAATTCATTTTTTCAACAAATATTTAAGTGTGTAATGAAATGTTTGTAATATACTGTAAGTTTTATAAATGTCACAAAATGGTATGTATATACTACGGTTTAAAAATACCAAGATGTTGGCATTTGTTATTTCTGAATAATGGGAACTAAAGCAAATTTCATTTTCTTCTTTATGCTTTTCTGTATTTTTTTTTAAAAAATGCTACAAAAATTTGCTAATTTTAAAAGTTAAAAAGAAATATATATATTTTCTAAAGTTTGTGTTTGGGGAGTTGTTTTATAATCAAATGCATTTCTGGTTTAATAATCATTAGATCATTTCATTATATAAAACTATTAAGCATTTTAAGTAATTCACATGTTAAAGCTGTAAGGGTCCTATATTTATCAAAATCATGCATACATCATATATATATATATACAACACACACACTTTTCAGTAATTTTATTTATTAGAAATGGGTGTTTGGTTTGAAATTAAGGAGAACTGTAGTTCTGTTAGAAGTGAATTACATATATACTTAGATATACTTATATGTGGTGTTTTGTGCCCTGGTAACTTAGTTGAGACAACGTGGCAGTTAGCTGTAACAGGTAGAGTCAGAGGTGCTGCTAGACCTCAGCTAGTCCTAATCCTCCTGCATGCCATGTCCAGCTCTTCTTCCTGACTGCTAATTCTGCTGACTAAGAGCAGCTGCAGCCCCATCCCTAGACACTAGACTGCAGAATTACAGACTTCTCCACTAGACTTCTAGATCCATTTCCCTTTTGTGGCCTCATTTCAGTGCCTGGATAGGCTTGGCATTCCAGATTAACTGGTTGGTGACTTCTCTGATTCCCCAGCTTCTACTTTTCTATTTCCATTTCCACAGCTCTTCCCATATGCAAATCCTCCCTTTCTGAGAAGCTGTCTTGTGACTGCCCTCTCAGGAGGAATCCCAAGCTAACCAAATGGGGCCACCTAAAGCAGAATTGAGGCACCTCTAACAACAGCCCCAGTAGAGTCCAGCTCCCAGCCTGCCGGCAACATATGTGACCCCAGAGAAACCAGCAGAAGAACCCCCCATCACATGGAGAAATAATAAATCATTGTTACTTTAAGCCACTACATTTTAGCGTGGTTACTCACTAATAGATAACTGAACATTATAATTTTCTTTTCAGGCTTCTTTTAGGTTTATCTGATTTAGAATAAAACAATAAAGCCAAAATGATTACGCACTTTAAAATGAAGCCTTCAAAATTTTTGAAACTTTGCCCCAATTCTAATATCGCATATTTATAAATATGTAAGTCAATATTATACTACATCATACTTCTACTAATGCAAAGCTCTTTAATTAGAAATTATTACAATGTTACTAGTTCCAAAAGATTTGTTACTGGTTTCAATAAAAAATTAATAATTAATTATTTAATCTTCCACAGATGTAATAAAAACTATCATGTTTCACATGACTGAAATCTGTTTCCCTTTCCTGCCTTCAACTTAAAAAATAAATGGGACTGTAGGGTACAATGCTTTCTTCAAAAGTCTTGATTTACTCCCTACAGTCCCAGGGCTGGGGTCATTTAATATATCTGCTCAGTTATGATATTTTGATCACTTCTTTACATTTTTTAAAGTCTCTGTTTAACCATTCCAAGGCCTATATTTATTTATGCACCATCACCTTACTTATCCATAACCGAACTAGCTGTCAAAATAGGCAAACATGAACCTAGATGACACTTTCTTTCCTTAGCTCACCTTCATTAGTGAAATCTAATAATCTTTCCAGATATACCAGAAAGTAGAGTGATGATGAGGCTGAAAGTCTCAGTTGCTGTTGCCTTGAAAAGTTGTCTATGATGACCTTGTCTATGGTGTCAGATGATGAAAATCATGCAAAAGCCAAGAGAATTAAAGACCTATTTAAAACCCAAGTCCTTACATGGCTCTAAATTAATGCCTTCATGGGATTTGATTTTTAAAACCCATATAAAAGTAGCAGAGGTCCACTCACTACTTCATGTATAATTACCCCAACTAACGTTCACCATCTTTTGGCACCCAGACCATGTCTTTTGCTTTGGTGCACCTTCTTAGGGTTTCTGTTACGGAGTTGGGCTCTTCTAGGTTTACTTAATAATTGACTTTTTAAAATTGCTCTTGTTATTCCATAAGTATTTTTGCCGAGCTATGTCTCGAGTTCCACTGATACTGACAATAAATGATCAAAGCCCAGGTGAAGGTTTTATGGTTCACTTAATATGTTGATAACTTCTAAACGGTGAATAGCTACTCAGTTGGTTTCATCAACTATAAGTATAAAGCTTAAGATGGCAGTAGGATTCTGAGTATGAATCTAGGGTGGGGTCCGCAACTCCCAGGCCATGGACCAGTACTGAATGGTGGTCTGTTGGGAACTGGGCTGCACAACAGGTGAGTGGCAAGTGAGCTAGTGAAGCTTCATCTGTATATATAGTCACTCCCCATTGCTCCCATTACCACCCAAGCTCTGCCTTCTGTCAGATCAGCAGTGGTGCTGGATTCTCATAGAAGCACAAACCCTATTGTGAACTGCACGTGCAAGGGATCTAGGTTGCATGCTCCTTATGAGAATATAATACCTAATGATCTGTCACTGTCTGCCATCACCCCCGGATGGGACCATCTAGTTGCAGGAAAATAAATTCAGGGCTCCTACTGATTCTACATTACAGTGAGTTACAGAATTATTTCATTATATATTACAATGTAATAATAATAGAAATAAAGTACACAACAAATGTAATGCTCTTGAAGCATCCCGAAACCATCCCCAGCCACCGCCCCCCACCCCCATCTGAGGAAAAATTATCTTCCATGAAATTGGTCCCTGATGCCAAAAAGGTTGGGGACTGCTGATCAAAGGGCATGTTTTTGCTTCAAAAACATTAATTATAGTGACACGATACCTGAAAAAATGACCAGAAAGAAACTGAGCTGACTGGGTGCGGTGGTTCACGCCTGTAATCCCAGCACTTTGGGAGGCTGAGGCAGTCAGATCATGAGGTTAGTAGATCAAGACCAGCCTGGCCAACATGGTGAAACCCTGTCTCTACTAAAAATACAAAAATGAGCTGGGCGTGGTGGCATGCACCTGTAGTCCCAGCTACTCGAGAGGCTGAGGTAGGAGAATTGCTTGAACCGGGAGGTGGAAGTTGCAGTGAGCCAAGATTGTACCACTGCACTCCAGCCTGGTGGCAGAGTGAGATTCCATCTCAAAAAAAAAAAAGAAAAGAAAGAAAAAGAAAGAAACTGAACTTTAGCATGACTTATTGCATGTATTTGTTCTTACCAGACTTCATTGTTTATACTTCTTGGGTCAATGAAAAGATCAAACAATTAGCTGTTATCAGCTTTAAAAATTAGTGGTTTAAACACCATGAACTTTTATACATAAACAAGCAAAAAAGTTGTCTCTAGCTTTAACAGGATGTTTTATTTTCTCTTTCAATGTTTCTTTTAATCAAATGCTATATATAGTCAAATATTAATATTTATTAATGAGTTTTCCATGAATGGTGCCAGCTAAAAAGCATTGTTACTCTGAAGTATGGCTTTGATGACAGCCAATGAGGTATTGATTCTCTACCTTGGTACACTACTGGTGAGCTTGCTAATCTATGAGGGTTAAGACCTTCTCAATAGGATACCAGTATAAACATGGGTCCAAGGGTGATATGGAGCCTTTCATATAAAACTCTTGTACTCCTGATCATGGAGCCATCAGGGCAACCATCACTTAGGAGAAAGTCCAGAGTACCATCTGTGGGTCAAAGCAGCACAGGAAGCCTTAGTCCTTGAAACAGAAGCTATTTTGGGAAGACTGGTACCAGTCTAGGATTAAATGTCCAGAGTAGGACTCTGAAAAAGTTCTAAGATGGAACAGGGAAACCTGGGGCAGAGAGAAGGTGTGATCTTTTGCATCATCCCTTCCTTGTTCTCCTCTCCTGCCCTAGAGACTGGCCACTATAGGAGATACTGTCCATACTACTGGTCAACCAGGAAAATGGGCGTGATGGTGAAGGACACAGAAAGGAAGAGTAGTAAAAGTCCAGGAAGAACAGAGCCAGGAGAAAGCCAGGAAAAAAAGTCAGCTTCTCATTATTGACCACAATTTAGTGCAAATGGTATTGGCACATCACTAGGCAGAAACATCTTCCTTCTTTATCAAATCCTCAGGCTAATGATAGGTCCAAGTGAGGATAACACTGGCTTGGAGCTTGAGTGAGTCAGGGTCTCTTCGAGCCTTTTTCTACCTGTAGAAACTGTTATGCCACCTAAGCCTTCAGGTCTACTGTATAAATCCTTATTAGGTAACATGAATGTGGCATGACTATCGAATTAGATATTTGGATTCATAAGCTTTTCAGTTACCATTACTGAGCATCTACAATGTACTAAACCAAATGTTTTCTATAAAGGGCCAGAGAGTTTGGGCTTTATCTGTCACAACTACTCAACTCCACTGTTATTAGATAAAAGAATCTACAGACAATATGGAAATGAATGGGTGTCACTGTGGTCCAATAAAACTTTATGAAAAAGGTTTGGCTTTGGCCTATTGGACATAAGTTACTGACCCCCATGCTCAGGAGTAGACTCGTAACGTATATAATCTCAAATATTCTAACAATCCCTTGCAGTTGGTGGTATTATTTAATTTTGCAGAGAAAGAAACTGAAGCTCAGAGGGCTTTTCAAATGTGTCCATAGTCACAACAGCTAACAAATAGTAAAGCCAAGATCCAAACCTTCATAATCTCTTTTCTGCTGTAATTTAAAGGTGACTTTCTACTATTGTGTGGATATAAGTGACACATGCCACCTTTAAATGCTGATTTTTTAATATCAATTTTTTCATAGGAATCTTTCTAAGGTTTTGATGGCTCAGGCTATGCTTATACACAGCAACAATTACAGAAGTGCACATAGCAGAATGATGCCACTGGAGCCAGAAATGCTGCTTGCCAGTGAACTGATGGCTTCAGCTGACTCTTTTCTATGTTGGCTGCACCTCTTCTTCTGACTTCCCTCATCATTTCTTTCTGGTGTTCTATTTTAGCTTCCAACTCCTTACCTGCAATGTGCTCTCTGTGTATTATAGGAAGAACTGAGGTTGCCAATTTAAACCAGATAAGGTTACAAACAACTCTAGTATCAGTAGGTTCTTGCCTATGTGTAGGTTTCATGCCTCTTTCCTATATTGGATTGAAAGATGTAGAACTGACATTTTTGTAGTTCAAAAGTGGGAGTTTTATATGGCTCAGTCTAATATTAAAGGGCATTGACCCTGACATATGCATTTTTCTGGTGCTCATGAGGTTTTTCTTCTGTTTGCCTCACAGTTTATGGTGGTGCCACAGAAGATTAAAGCAGCAGTAGATTGCTGCCAGAAAAGTGGGCTAAGATCTGATAACTCCTTAGAGCCACTGTGTTCTATAACAACAGGCAGGGTCAGAAGGCCAGAAGTCAGTCAGAGTGCCTCACTACTGGTCATCTGCACACGGAAATAGTTTTTGAAGTTTGTTTTTTCCTGAGCTTTTGCACAATTGTCTCCTCAATCCTCTTTATAATATTGACTAAACAGACTCACAACATGGTGACTGAATTACTCAAGGGAATGAAACAGACATGAGAAAGAAACTTGAAAACCTGGGAATAAAATCTCCCAAGACTCCTAAATATCAGAAACTTTAAAAGCAGGGATTCATCACAAAAGGACTGTGAAATGCATCATATCTTTCTCTCAGCTCAAAGTGGGGATTGTTTTCAAAGGGCTCTATGTGAGTATGCATATAGATCTATATTTCTACTTCTAGAGGGCTGATCTATTTTCACTTATGCTAAAAACAAAATAAACCAATTGTATAAAGAAAGAAAATTAAAAGATAACAAAGATGTGTGGCTTCTAGATTCAAATTTCCAGGGGTAAACAATAGGGACTTTATATGATTCCTGAAGATAACCAATATAGATAAAACTTTAAAATAAACCCATAGAAATCACATAAATTAATGAAAGGAGATGATAAACTTCTGGTATAATTTATTCTCTAAGGAAGAGAAAAATTTTCAGTTATCCACAACATTTAGGCATTCTCTTGGAAACCAGTAGAAAGTACATGTTAAGAAAGTTAAAAATAAAATAAAATACTTACCTTGTTCTCCACCTGGACACTGTCACCTTCCCCAAGCACTGCTGTGTGATGAGGTTCTATTTTTTCTTGTGCATCATCGGGCCCTACAAAACCAATTTAATATCCATTATAGTACATTTGTTATACGGTTACTCATTTGGTTAACTACATAGCACCACAATATTAATTTTAATTTGAGAAATAACAGACTTGGTAATTTCCTTAAATCTCTTGGTTAATTATATTTGCTATTATTAAAGCCTAAAACTAGTTTGTTTTCAATTTTGAAAAAGTACAAGGAGATGAATCCTGCACTGTTTTCATTTACAGTTTTAATGTTATGCTTAAATATTTCAATTGATATGCAAAGTCCTTGGCATCATGTGCTCATTTTTCCTTAGGTAAATTATAAACTTTATAAGAATTAAGAAAACTTGGAAAAATTATCAGATGCCATAATTAATTTCAACAAGTATTAATTGAGTACCTACAATTTCCTAGTACTATGGGAGAATACAGAGACATGCAAAGTAGATTCCTTTCATAGAAATAATCCAAAATCTCATTAGAGCAAACTAAATCTATACACACAAAATAATCAGATAATAATTCAACTGAAAAATAAGATAGTTGGAAAGTTATTGAATAATGGCTATTAAAACATGAATAAGACTGTTCTAAATGTTGTGGTAACATTCAGGATAGATAAATTTCCATCTCTTCTATACTGAGGTTTACAAACAAAATAACACAAATGAAAATATCTCTTAAAGGCAACGATAAATTCATAACCAAAGTTCAGTAAGAGAACAAGAGTGACAGGGGCTTCTGCAGGTCTAGGGACCCCAGAAATTTGTTGTGGAGGAGGTAAGACTTGAACAGAGCTCTGTAGAATTAGATAAACTACAAGAGGCAAATCTGGGGAAAAGGACATTCTACACAAGACAAAAGATTGTGGTGAACCTTCGACCATTCCTGGAACAGTCTTTTGGGAAGAACAATGGAAATGTAAGCTGTCTTCAGATCAGGGAAAGCCTTTAAAATACATGTTTATCCATATGACAGCCCTTGAGGAGTGTGTGTGTGTGTGTGTGTGTGTGTGTGAGAGAGAGAGAGAGAGAGAGAGAAATTACCAGACCTGTGTCTTGGAGAAATAACTCTGATGGCAGAATGTGGAGTGAATTATTGGAGGGGACAAGACTGAAGAGTTAGGATGACCTACTAGGAGTTTGCTGTAACAGTCTAAGTGAAAATGAATTACAGTCTGAATTGAGAAAGCAGCAACAGAAAGATAGGGATGGATTTGACAGGTGGAGTTGAAAAAGAATCTAAAGGATTGGGCAACAGTGGGAGAGAGAAAAGTCTAACACAATTCTCACTAGGAGCAGAAGAATGTAGTGACTTGAAGATTGCAAGAGTGGTTCTGCAAGAGGAGGCTGCAGAATGGAGAGGCCAGAGTGGGCCACAGAAGGCTGTAGAGAAGGGGTGATATTTGGACTAGGTCTTTCAGTTGGGTAAAAGCCACAATATATGAATGGATGAGAGAGAGATTTCAAATTGAGTGAGCAGCCCATAAAATGTCTAGGGAGATATACCTGCATGCCCTTTCGGGATGTAAATAAGGGCATTCATGTGACAAGTTGGAGCTGAATAATCAATAAGGAAATGTTTATTTAAATGGAAATAATAGTTTGGGCAATTATTATGTAAACAGAAACATAATTTGTGAATTTTAGACATATTGGTTAGATTCCAAACTACTATATTTTCTAGTAAAGTTCTCACCTCCACTTTGGAAATAACCAATATGAGGCAGCAGAGCACATTCTGATGCTTGCAAACATGAAATAGGATTCTAATAGAGCAGGGGTTCTTAACATGGAGTCAATGTCCTCCCAAGGAGTCCATGGATAGAATTCAGAGCACGGGTGAACTTGGATAGGAGATAAATTACATGTTTACTTTCACTAACAGCTAAATTGAAAGGTATCTTTTCCTTCAATCATGAATGTAGCCAATAAGCCACAGTAGTATTAGCTGGACTGTGAGACTTTGTCTCCAGCAGAAATCATAGATATTTTCATATCACATTATGATTTTATAGACATCTCAAAATATAGTTTGTTAATTATTATGTAAAATTTAGAGCAGACCTGCTAATCATGTTATGTCAAATGTCGTTAGAGAAGCACACATATAACTGTATCCCTAAACCTGTTCTTTTAACATTTTCATAACTGCACTGACTGCACTGACTTTAAAAACATTATTCGAGGAGTCAGGGGGCTTGGCAGATGTCAAAAAGGTCCATGGCAGTAAAAAGATTAACAACTTCTGTTCCAGAGGCAGCAGTATGCTGGTTAATGCTTAACAACTGGCTTTCAGGAATAAGAGGGGAGAACTAACCTGATTTGTAAGTGTGTGCCAATTTCTGTGGTGTAAATACTCCCACTGTGGCCAATTTCAACCTGCTAATGTGAGGCCAGGGAAGGCACATAATCAGCTCCTGCAAGCTGGCAAGAGCCAGCCCTAGCATAATACTACAGGTTTCTCCTACATCAAATATTTAGGTCAACAAACATCATGAAAGGAAATGATAGAATTCCATCGATTTTCCACTTATGTAGGGATTTGGCAATAAAAGAGAAGTCTGGGAGTTAAAAAAGAATCTCATTTAGAGTTGAGTAATATTCTTAACTGTGATACGGAGCAGCATTTTATTAAGTGTGCTTTACCGAAGTCCCCTGGGAGCAATAAACCACGTCTTTATCTTCAACTAATTCATATATAATACTCATTAACCACGTGGTCCACTCCTGGCCCCTAATTTTGCCATGTAGGGTGTTTCATGATACATATACCAAAACAGTTTATAAAGCCCTTCGTTATGTTTTAATGGAGTGAGCTGGCAAAAGGGTGCTAAAAAATAATGCTGAATTGGTATTTCTTTGCACCCCCTATCAGGGGAGCCTGCTTGACTATGGTGTTCATTGGTCTGTGAGGAAATCTTAACAAAGAGTTCAGCTTGTCTAAAGGGCTCTAATTCTAATTGTATGTGGGATGCAATGTCTGCCCATTCTCTTTGCAATCTCAGTGTTGATACTAACTATGTCATTTGAAATGCCCCACTCTAAGGTAAATATTTTTATTTATTTTCTTTTGAGACAGAGTATTACTCTGTTGCAGAGTCTAAAGTACAGTAGTACAGTCACAGCTCACTACAGCCTCAACTCTGGGGTTTAAGTGAGCCTCCCACCTCAACCTCCCAAGTAGCTGGGACCACAGGCATGCATTACCATGCCCAGCTAATTAAAAAAAAAAATTGATTGAGGCAGCGTCTCATCATGTTTCCCAGGCTGGTCTCAAATTCCTGGGCTCAAGCAATCCTCCCATCTCAGTCTCCCAAAGTGCTGGGATTACAGGAATTAGCCATCACGTCTAGCCAAGGTAAACCTTTCTTATAGACACTGGAGTCAGTGTTTCAGGTTAATAATAACTGCAAGTGTACTTTTAGCTTCTGTATTATTACGTGAAATGCTTAAAACAGGGCCACAGAAAGCAAAGACTGATTCTATCTTTATTTGCAGATCATTTTTATGATATTCACCCATCTGGTTATCTCCTGAACCTAAAATGAGTCTCAAAAAATACTTGTTTCTGACCACTTTCAATTATAAATATAGCCAAATCAGATAACAAATAGTTTCCATTGGGAATCACTGCCAAGAATGTTAAATCTAATAACGCAGTTAAAGAAAATTTTAACTGAAAACAACTTAATTGTAATTTTTTTGCCTAAACAGTCATAAAAGGGTAAAATGCTTCAAAACCTATTTTAAAGTTAGTGCTGCATCTTCAGTGTGTATTAATTGCTGTACAACTTTTCTGCAAATGCCAATTTTTCTTTTCCTTTTTTTTCTAATAATTGCTGTCCTTCTTATTCTCTGTTCTATACACTCCAGTACTTCTATGATAGGTTTTGATATCATCAATTTTATATGTGTAGTTGAAGCCTTCTTACCCATTCAACTGAGATTGTTAATTGAAAAAGACAGTCAAACTGCCTCAAACATTTAATTTTAAGGCATAAAAGTACATTTGTTTGTAAATTTTTAGAAATAACGCTGTAACATTTTCGGAGGCCTGCTTGAGCCTAGGATTTCAAGACCAGCCTGGGCAACACAGGGAGACTTTGTCTCAATGTAAAATTTTTAGGCACGGTGATGCCCATCTGTCATCCCAGCTACTCAGGAGACAAGTGGGAGGAGTGCTTGAACCGAAAAAAAAAAAAAAAAAAAAAGAAAAAAAGAAATGTAGTTAAGGTGGGTCTACTTGCTGGATTGAAGAATTTTCTTTTTAATTAAAGATGGGGTTTTACCATGATGGCCAGGCTGGTCTTGAACTCCTGACCTCAGGTGATCTACCCACCTTGGCCTCCCAAAGTGTTAGGATTACAGGCGTGAGCCACCATGCCCAGCGAAGAATTTTCTTTTTAAAGCATACCCATAATGCACCATCCATTAGATTATTAGTTTCCCCAAGTCTTTCGTAAAGTCAAAGGCATTTTCTTATTATAAAAAATTTTGGGGGGACGGAGTCTTGCACTTTTGCCAGGCTGGAGGGCAGTGGCGTGATCTCGGCTCACTGCAACCTCTGCCTCCTGGGTACAAGCAATTCTCTGCCTCAGCCTCCCGAGTAGCTGGGACTACAGGTGCCTGCTACCATGTCCAGCTAATTTTTGTATTTTTAGTAGAGACAGGGTTTCGCCATCTTGGCCAGGCTGGTCTAGAACTCCTGACCATGTGATCCACCAGCCTCAGCCTCCCAAAGTGCTGGGATTACAGGCATGAGCCACTACACCTGGCCCTTATTATTAAATTTTTCATTTTTGTGGGTACATAGTAGTTGTATATATTTATGGGGTATATGAGATGTTTTGATTCAGGCATGCAATGCATAATAATCACATCATGGAGCATGGGGGTATCCATCCCCTCAAGCATTTATACTTTGTGTTACAAACAATCTAATTACACTCTTTTAGTTATTTTTAAATTTGCAATTAAGTTATTATTGACTATAGTCACCCTGTTGTGTTGTAAAA